GTCAGCTTAATTTGGGAGGAAAGCCCGAAGTGATGCAGGTCTCAGACGTTTACCACTTTAGAAACATAATCAGGCCAAACCAGGATTCGAACCCACGATCATAGGTTTCTGGCGTGCTCAAGGGACGCAACTTTGTACAGCGAATTGCAGAGCCTTAGGCGACTGAGCCACCCCAATCTCATTAAAATCAGATCTTAGTTCTCGCTACCGCTAAACTAAGATCTGAGGACATCCCATTACGTGTCACGTCCGCCGACCTTGCGCGAACTTTGACCGACCAATGGAATGACCAATCAGAAGGCAGCTTTCTCCTGCTTTACGGCACTAATTTCAAATTGGCGACTACGCTTCGAAACATATTTTGACAAATTCTCGATTACAAATTTGAAACCTGAACAAAAAGACGTTCTGGAATGGCTAATAGTTGTTCTAGATTGTAAGGATTCAGTCGTTAAACCCGTGAAACCCTATCGTTCGGAATACCCCATGTAAAGGTTTTCGAGGTTGCATGATTAGAAATCACATTCCGACTGTCTCTTTCATAATCTGGTAAGCGACGCTCTGATTAGTCGGATGAAAGATCGTTCCGACGTGACCCCTAATGGGATGTCTTCAGATCGCGGTAGCGAAAACTAAGGTCTGATTTTAATGAGATTGGAGCCACCCGTACCCCACCTTTCTGTGTAGAGAGGATGACTGTCTACTACGCCTTCGATGACCAGGCCACCCACGCACCTAGTTCTGAAGGACGTAGGTCTCAAGCTGGTATCGATTCGCTGTCCCAACAGTTCAATCATTGCATATAAAAGCATTAGAACAGACTTGGAAACTGACGGCTGATGCGTTTTCGCCCTTGGTTATCACAATTTATGAAACATTTCCTAGTGTGTTGTAGAATGGATGGGACGCGATGAAGGTGTCCATTGGAAGGTAAATGGGATTGGATCAAGTTATGCAACTTTGAGTCAGTGGGTGGTTAGGGTTTCACATCGCTTTTAGCCATATTCCAGCAATACCGGAAATGGGCATCACCCAGAGTGCCCATGTGGTAAATCGAACCCGAGTCTTTGACGTAACAAGCGAGCGCTTTAACCACCAGTCTACCCCACCTCCCTGACAAGTATAATACTGAGACACGAAGCTTATATGGTGTTAGGGGCGGTGGGGTAGCCTAGTGGTTAAAGCGTTCGCTCGCCACGCTGAGGACGTTGGTTCGAGTTCGAATGCGTGAAGCTTATTTCTGGTGTCATATTGCAGGAAAATTGCTAAAAGTGGCGTTAAACCTTACTCACTCATTCACTCTTCTAGCCGAGAAAAGATCCCTGTTCGTTTTTATTTCCTTGTGCATTCTCTCTCTTTTTTTATCAGTATTGTTCTTGTCAAGGGCGTATCACTGTATTTCGAATTTGTCGTTTAGGAAGTGTCTGCTCTTGCTTGCACTTGTCATTCATTGTTGAGTTGTGAGTGTGTACAATCAGGTAGTCACGACATGAGCTATGTTTAATCTTCATCTTGTTCCTGGTTCAATGGAGTGTTTTTAAGTGTTTTCAACTAGGATGTAAACGTTTTGTCAATACGTCGTTCAGTTAATGTTGTTTAGTCACGTAAGTTTTAGTCACGCTTTGTAACTTATGGTTTTACACAACACGTCGCCACACAAATTGGTACTTTCTACCACTTAACCTGCCACATTTCTCTGCCTGGTTCCCTGGGTAGGCTGCGCATGCGCTATAGCGTAAGCGCAACCTACCCAGGAAACCAGGCTGACTTTTACCTATTCCTCACGTGGGGCTACCAGGTTAGATTAGTAACCAGTGACCTTTGCTGATCATATAAGAGGCGACAAATGAATCGGGTGGTCAGGCCTGTTGACTTGCATGTCATCGTACTCCGACAGCTAGACATAATTATTTACAGGCCGTCGTATTATATAGCTGGAATATTGCTGACGGTGTTTTTCTTCTCGCATTTAAACTAAATACCGTTACCTAACTGAAATACGGCCTTTAATACAGTAAACTACGGTTATAACGAACTCAAAAGGACTACTTATTTTAGTTCGTTATAACCGTAATTCGTTATAAGCATATATACAGCATAACTAAAGCATAAAGTCGGGACTAAAAGTTAGTTCGTTATAATAGATTATATGGTCTCTGGTTATATCCGTTAGTTCGTTATAAGCGTGTTCGTTTTAACCGTAGTTTACTGTACTACATTAAACCCTCCTACAAACGGTTGTGTCGCCGTGAACGTATATATTTCTTACGCAAACCTTTTTATACACTTCACTACACGTCTTTACAAAAAAGACATTAATGGCTTAGTCAAGTTTTCGAGACGTTTTATGGAAGACGTGGCGGACATTTCCAAATTTGACGCATCAGTGACACAAATTATATCCGAAGCAATTCTCGATTTTGACTTTTACATAAGTTTCGTGTATTGGCAGGTTAACCTCGTGGTTAACCGTTTGCTGGTAATGCTGAAGGCTCCAGTTCTACTGCACACTGCTGGAATACTGAAGTACTTCAACGTTTGTGGCGTAGAGTAGTTGGATGGGTGGTCGCAATCGGCAGCTTGACTACTTTGAGTTTCTGGGGCTTCGGTCCTGCCCTACGCTGAAAAACATGTAGTACGTGTGGTGCCTCCATGGACAAGTGACTTTGTTCGAAATATCCCTCTGTTCATCCAGCAAGTACCCGGTATAGGATGAGATCGGTTGTCCAAAAAGGCTAAGAACTGCATAGCTTCGGGGTTGCCTCACACTTCAAATCGACACCCATCTCACCCTCTCATTTCAAATTCAATTATTGTAAAATGGATATTAGAAACACGTGATATTACAGGTATTTCTAATTTGCTGGTGGAACCGATGTAGATCTGTTTTAAGTCATTTACTGAGAGAATCGGGGATTATTGTTAAGCTGTTAAAATGAAGTGAAACGCTACGATTGAGATAATTCTATGTTACAGTAGGGGAGGAATGATTTATTACTTATACAGAGGAGCGGTCGGGTAGCCTGGTGGTTAAAGCGGTCGCTCGTCACGCCGAAGACCCGGGTTCGATTCCCGACATGGGTACAATGTGTGAAGCCCATTTCTGGTGTCCCCCGCCGTGATATTGCTGGAATATTGCTAAAAGCGGCGTAAAACCATACTCACTCACTCACTCACTCACTTATACAGAATAGGTCTTCAGCAACCCATTCTTGCCGTAAAGGGAGACTTTGTTTGTCGTAAGAGGCGACTAACGGGATCGGGTGGTCAGCCTCGCTGACTTGGTTGATGCATGTCATCATATTCCAATGGCGTGGATCGATGCTCGTGATGTCAATCATTGGATTGTCTGGTCCAGACTCGATTATTTACAGACCGCCGTCATATTGCTGAGTGCGGCGTTAAACAACAAACGGCTACTTATACCGATGAGGTAACGAGTGTACCGGGCGCTGCAATGAGGTCATCATCACACAGACAAATCCATGGCTGTCTTTGTGCAGCGCACTCTTTAAGATAAACAAGGCCTGATATTTCCCTGGTTCATTTCAGTGTATCCATTTCATCACATGCAGAGTCTATAGTAATTTCCATTTTGATTAAGACCCTATAAGTTCGTACAATAAAGGTAATAACTAAAATTAGAATTGGTTTTCGCTTATGTAATGCAACTATAGAACCCGAATTGAATTGGAGAAATAGTTATTTGATTTTGCACTTTTATCAAACTATGCGTTTTAATTCCTTGATCTAAAACACGACTGTAGGAAAGAATCCAGTGACAGGCCTGTTCGTATGTATAATAGAAATTACAGTTATGTATCAATGTAAGTATTTCAAAGTACATGACCCAAAAATATTAAAGAAACTCAGAAACTCAGGATGTCATCCTTTTATATACGCAGGCCCATCTACAACAGTTGAACACTATGTGCCGAATGAAATAACTGCGTGCGTATCATCATACTGCACTGCCGGGCAAAAGAAAGTATACATTTAATAATTGGATTTGACCAAAACACAATTGTATTTCATTAAAAACTGATCTGAGCTCTCGCTGCCGCTAAACAAAGATCTGAGGACATCCCATTACAGGTCACGTCAAAACGACCTTTCGCGAACTTTGACCGACCACTGAAATGACTATAACAAGAAATCGACATCAACCAATTAGAAAGCAGCTTTCTCGAGCTTTACGGCACTCGTTTCAACCAGGCGACTTCCATTTCAGACTACGCTTGAAAAATATGTTGACACAGTTCTCGATAAAAAAATTGAAAACTAAACAAACGAACATTCCGGAATGTCTAATATATGGTTGAGATTTTATGGCAGTGCTTCCCACGTACTGTGCAACGCCTCCTCCGTTCAAATGTTTATCCCACGGAAGCGACAGTTAGACGATAATTTTGACGGAATCAGTCGTACGGGTCGTAACTGTCGTTCGGAATACCCCGTGTTAACGTTTTCGATGTTGCATGATTAGACAACACATTCCGACTTTCACTTTCATGATCTGGTAAGCGACGCTTTGATTGGTCGGGTGAAAGGTCGTTCTGACGTAACCCGTAATGGCGTGTCCTCAGATCTTTGTTTAGCGATAGCGAGAACTAAGATCTGATTTGAATGAGATTGGACCAAAACATTACAAACGGTTCCAAAACGTTACTTCGCTGAAAACATTCGCCGAAACACTGCAAACTTAAGGTCCAAACACAACTGTGATACCCGTATCAAAGACATCACCATCGAATAACCATGTTCGTTTCATTTTAAACACCAATAAACATGGGTGTATATTTTCTTATGCCCGATAGTTTCGCATGTCCCGTTGAACTGCTGGACAGAAGGACACGTTACGTATAATGTGACTCCTCTTCGATTGACACAGGGCGTGGTCGGTCGCCGACAGCAGCTAACTCCCTCCGTCGATGCCGTAGATCGCGTGCAAGACAGACAGCATCGATCATATGATGAATATTCCAAATGCTACATGTCTCCTCCCTGTGTTCTTGTCTGCATCAACACCATATAGATATTATCATACACGCCGCAATCATAGTTGGACTTTTCTCTGTTCAATCTCAATACATTGCCAAACGCTGAACTCTTCGGCTCAGGCTTGTCTTTTCAGTTGGTAAGTAAAACCAAGTTTTATGAGATCTTCTTTATATTTCGCTAAGCATATTTGCACATTTGTTAATTCCTAATATAGACATCTTGAGGAAAAGCGTATTTCTTTATCAAAGTTTGAATCTAGGAGAAGAGTGGATCCGTGTTTACAAAACTAATTACGATTTGCGATATAGTCACCTGACTTCAATACAAGGCAGGCCAAAATTAAAGTTCTCTGGTTGAAAATTGCTAGAATAAATAATTTTTCACATCAGCTTTTTATAAAGTTACAATAAATTTGTATAACATATTGGTGTGATCACTGCCTGTCATTATGTTTACCGTGCAAGGGTGTGTAGTGCGGGGAGTGAAGGTTATGGTAGAGTGGTGTAATTACATCATAAGGTATCGTAATTCGACGTGTGTTTATTTAATAGTCGTGCAAGAATCCGCTGATTCGCCCAAATTATGAACCGTTGTTTTTATCAACAATTTCTCACTGTAATACTGTTTAAAGCAGCTTAAAACCACTCTCGCTCGCTGATGTAGGGGAAAACCGCCCGAAGGATGCAGATCTTAAAGGTTTTCCTCTTTGGTCTTGGGTGAAACCCACAAGAACGGATGCGGTGCTGACAAACCAATTCATTACCAGGAATCAGAATTTGTCCCACATACCAAAAGCCTATGTTAAAGTATAAGTGTTGGGATCATCGCAACACTACGACTGAGTGAGTCTCATGTAACGTCGCTTTGAACAGTATTCTAGTTATATGGATTTTGGGAGGTAACCTAGGACAATGAACGAGGCGAACCGGGACTAATAGTTACAGAGCTGACATGCCTGATAAATGTACTTGTTTTTGTACTTAAACGTCGCCTTGTAAACATAGAGAGGTTGTAATGCAGAAGTCAATCATATCCCCAGTGTTACATAACATTACCAACCCTTTCATGTCGTAAGAGGCGTCTAACAGGATCAGATATCCGACTCGCTAACTTTGTTTGTTTGTTGTTTAACGCCGCACTCAGAAATGTTCCAGTTATATGACGGTGGTCTGTAAATAATCGAGTCTGGACCAGACAATCCAGTGATTCACGTCATGAGCATCGATCCGCACAATTGGGATACGATGATAGCATCAACTAAGTCAGCTAGCCTGACCACCCGATCCTGCTAGTCGCCCCTTACGACAAGCATAGTCGCCTTTTACGGCAAACATGGGTTGCTGGAGACCTATTCTACCCAGGTTTGCAAACTTGGTTGATGCATGTCATCGGGTTCCAACAATAGTTGGAGGCAACTATGCTTGTCATAAGAGGCGACTAACGGGATCGGGTGGTCAGGCTCGCTGACATGGTTGATGCATGTCATTGCATCCCAACTGCGTAGATTGTCTGGTCCAGACTCCAGTATTGACAGACCACCGTCATATAGCTGGAATATAGCTGAGTGCGGCGTTACACAACAAACATAAGTAGAACGCATAGGAGAGTCTTATAACTCTGCGTGTGTTATCCGATGTCTGTAACACGTGATCCGCTAATTTGTTTCCTCCCTGGTACAGGGAGTATGTTAACATGTGGTAAGAACTTGAGTACAAATGTGTTAATTTCATTAAAAGTATTATTCGTGTGCATTTTCATGAGATTTTTTAAGGCTGCAAGTTGTATGCTTGTGTGATAGCATTTCCTCATCTGTAGTCGCTGACCATTATTGAATTTAAGTGTGACTGAGTGCGTCAGTTGGATTTAACGCCGTTTTTAACAGTATTCCAGTTTTATTGCGGCGTGTCAGCTTAATGTGGGAGGAAAGCCCGAAGTGATGCAGGTCTCAGACGTTTACCACTTTGGTGAACCCCACTAGCACGGGTATGGTGCTGACAAACCTAGAAACATAATTGGGGGGAACCGGGATTCGAACCCACAATCATAGGTTTCTGGCGTGCCCAAGGGACGCAACTCTGCACAGCGAATCGCGACGCTTTAGACGACTGGGCCTGCATCACTTCGGGCTCCTCTTCAAGACGTACAATTTCTTTTTCTGAAAGGAGGAGCGATACTTTCTTCTTCTTTTTTACTCAAAACACATAATTTTACCGAGCATCCATCATGTCCACAAAATACTTTTTGGGGGGTCAAACCCGAGGACACTTTTGTGTGGACAGATATGTTTTTAGGACAGAGTGAGTATATGAAAGAGTGGGTATATTAGAGTGAGTATATGAGAGTGGATATATTAGAGTGAGTTTATGAGAGAGTGGGTATATTAGAGTGAGTATATGAGAGAGTGGGTATATTAGAGTGAGTATATGAGAGAGAGTATATGCGAGAATATATGAGAGTGTGTATATGAGAGAGTCGGTATATTAGAGTGAGTATATGGGAGAGTGTGTATATTAGAGAGAGTATATGAGAGTATGTATATGAGAGAGTGCGTCTATGAGTCTGTATATAAGAGAGTGAGTATATGAAGGAGTGGGTATATTAGAGTAAGTATATGAGAGAGTGGGTATATTAGAGTAAGTATATGAGAGAGTGGGTATATTAGAGTAAGTATATGAGAGAGTGGGTATATTAGAGTGAGTATATGAGAGAGTGGGTATATTAGAGTGAGTATATGAGAGTGGGTATATTAGAGTAAGTATATGAGGGAGTTGGTATATTAGAGTGAGTATATGAGAGAGTGGGTATATTAGAGTAAGTATATGAGAGAGTGAGTATATTAGAGTAAGAATATGAGAGTGGGTATATTAGAGTAAGTATATGAGAGAGTGGGTATATTAGAGTAAGTATATGAGAGAGTGGGTATATTAGAGTAAGTATATGAGAGAGTTGGTATATTAGAGTAAGTATATGAGGGAGTGGGTATATTAGAGTGAGTATAAGAGGGCCTGGGCCTTGCTTTGTTGGAGATTGAATAAGAGGCCGGGTAGGTGAGAGAGCGTATAGGTAGAGACAGCGAGTTCATGAGAGGCCGAGTATATGAGAGACTGATAGGTATAACAACCGGACAAAACATAAACGAAATCGCCCTGAAAACAACCGTTCACATAACATGTCGTAAATGACCCGAAGACTGACGAGAAATATACGCGAACTGAGTTGAAATTAGCACCGTTAGTTTACAGTTTTTTTAATCGTGGTGACGTTGATATCCCATGTATTAAAAGACTGGTGTTCCTAAACATGATGCTCAAACCCATTCCCGTTTCTAATAACTGAATTTCCAGAGACAAATCTGTACAAAGCGTTATTCCGTTCCGTTTGCTAAACGTTTTGCCGTATTGGCACACGTGCTATTTTATTGGTACAAACACAGGTAATACGTACGTCACTGTTGCATAGTTGATGAAAGCACGTGCAAAACATTTTTTTAGTAAAATAATAAGCGTTAAAGCGGATATGATCAAAGATAATAACCAGCCCAAGCCAAATTAAAAATCTGTATTGATGTTTTGACAGTGGGTCCGTCAGAACTTGCGCATACAGGGGCGTCGACCATGTCGGAATGATGCCAGTTTACGATGTGAGGAGCCCATTAGCGGAAGTACTCGTGGCTTGTCCGCATCGAATCGCCGCATTCGTGACCAATTCGTGTCATTCCGGGACAAGCCAAATGCCATTTGTCACCACTCGGCCCTTTCCGTAACCTGCAAAAATCATATCGATGAATGTTCATTCGCCTATTCGGCTTGTTCCGGAATAACACGAGTTGGTCACGAATGGATGAATGTCATGTGCGAAAATACAAGCCAATCAGAATGCGCGTTTGACTTCAAAGAATACGTCAGGAATATTTTTTTTATTTTACGTATGTCTTGCATTTAAAAATACTCCCAAGATACAGTTAAATGTGTTCAATCATGCAGTATGATAGTGTAAGTCATAATGTCCCAATAGCATCTGGAATATATATGGGGGAATAATACGTGAATCATTATGTGCAACGAGTTGGCAATTCTTTTAGCTATGCCCGTTTGCGCTTAGACGGAACCCAGTCGCAAAATTGGCCACGGGAGGGGCACGAGTCGTTATTCGGCTTGTCCCGGAATAACACGAGTAAGACACGAATGGCCAAATGCAGGTTATTTGATTCGGAAAGGGGCGATTGGCATAACACCGGAAACCTTGAGTGGAAAATGCAATATTTGTGTTCGATTTGAAAAACCCTGGACGACCCAGGTGAACCCGTGTTGACCAAGGTATAACCCAAGTTAACCTAGCTTGACCAGTGCTAGCACATGCGCACTGACTTCCTGTCGGCGGTACTCGACCTAACAGCCTCCAAATGACGTCATCAGTAAAGAAAAATAGTTTCTTTTATTGATTCAATGAGGAACAAAAGCATGTTAAATAATATAATTAACTAGGTTTTGATCATGTCTGTTTATGTTGATATGCGTCAGGAAGATTTAACTTTCGATTGTTGATAAAGTACTTTAGAATTACTGCAATAGTGATGATGATTTGCCATGTTGTTTTATCTTATAATCGTTATTTTGAAGTTCCTCGACATATATGAATTAAATAAAAAAAGGTGCAATGACAGCTTTGTCAAGCAATGAAAAACGTGTTGGCCTCTCAATGAATTGCGACAGCCTCCGGCCGCCCGGAGAGCTGAAGGTCCGGATTTCGATCCCTGGCCGCGTCATACCAAAAGACGTTAAAAGATGGTACTTGTTCTTACGCTGTCTTGCGCTCGGCATAAAGGGGCTAAAACAAGGACTGGTCGGCTCGGAGTCAGTATGCTGTGTCTGAGTGGGGTATTCATGTTAAACTGCGGCATGGTATGTCAGTGAGCTAGCACTATAAATCGGCATCAGTCCGGACTAGTACAAGCAGCCACACACACACACACACACACACACACACACACACACACACACACATACACACACACACATGAATGCACGTCGCTGTATAAGTGCAATAATCTTGGACGCGACGTTAAACCCAATTTCACCTCACCTCAATGAATTGTTTGATAGTCATTACTTAGAAGTTGACGGATGACAAAGTAGACACAATTTAGGGGTAACAACTTCTTTAATTACTATAAAGGCGACGTTTCGGTATAGATCCTTAAACCGTTGTCAAGCAAGACTGGTCGTTATACATAAATTGTGTCTACTTTGACCTCTCATTGGTTTGTCTCATAGCAAAAGGTTGTTGGGGTTCTCCGTCTCCTTGCATCTTCCCGACTTTAAAAGTCCAGTTTCCTCCCTTACCGAACTAGGCTGGAATTACTGGGCTCGATCGTAGCGCCACCAGTGGCTTTTACCAGCTATGTCCCTTTTAAGTCTCTCCTATGGACCAATCAGATTCCACCTCTCGTATCACTTGCGTTTGCTTCACACAAAATGGTGGCGCCCGGTCAGGACGATCTGATCGATAATTAAGATCTATATTGTGATAAAACGTGTCTTACATCGCGAAATGCATCAAATCACGTGAGCAACTTGATTAAAAACATGAAAAAAATTGGAAAATATTTGCTGACAACGTGTTTGCGGTGCACATGCTTTGCAAATCCTGCAATCGACCGAAATCTGAACGACAGTTAACGAACCGAATTTCAATTTCGGTGCGCGATTTTGATTGGACTATGCATAGACTCGTTAGCCCAGCCAAAATGTAACTCCATAATACCAGCCTAGTTCGGCAAGGGTGGAAACTAGACTTTTATAGTCAGTTAACTCTCTTGCCTCGGGAAGATGTCTCATTGCAGCCTTCATTACATCTAAGATTGACTGTTATGCGTTATAATTCGGATACTTCGCTAAGTTTCCTTGATTGACATTTGGTAACTCAGGTTGAATACAGTCCACCCTGGGCCCCGTTCCACAAAGCGATCTTAGCACTAAGGTGATCGTAAGTCCCATACTTTAACATAGGTTTACGATCATCGTAGCGCTAAGATTGCTTTGAGGAACGGGGCCCTGGTTGCTAGAAATGTAGTAGCCTCGGATGACTCTAACTATCCTAATCGAACGAACGTAGTGATCGTTTAGAGACATCTTAGGTGCCTTACTCAGAGAGTGTGGGTTCGAATCCCGGATAGGACCGACCATAAAAACGTCGAATTACTGGAAAGAAATCAAAAGAACTTTACTAAGAAAGTCTTATGTCAAATATAGCATATGTTATATCTCAAAATAAGGTGAAAAACGCATTTTGTCCGAAATGTGTTAGAATTCATAATAAACGGTTTGTATAAAATAGTGAAAGTAAGACAATTGTTGAGAGGATGGTGCATTTAATAATTGGTTAACCATGATGCTGTGGGCAGTGTATAAGGTCCCGGATGCTGTGGGCAGTGTATAAGGTCCCGTATGCTGTGGGCAGTGTATAAGGTCCCGGATGCTGTGGGCAGTGTATAAGGTCCCGGATGCTGTGGGCAGTGTATAAGGTCCCGGATGCTGTGGGCAGTGTATAAGGTCCCGGATGCTGTGGGCAGTGTATAAGGTCCCGGATTCTGTGGGCAGTGTATAAGGTCCCGGATGCTGTGGGCAGTGTATAAGGTCCCGGATGCTGTGGGCAGTGTATAAGGTCCCGGATGCTGTGGGCAGTGTATAAGGTCCCGGATGCTGTGGGCAGTGTATAAGGTCCCGGATGCTGTGGGCAGTGTATAAGGTCCCGGATGCTGTGGGCAGTGTATAAGGTCCCGGATGCTGTGGGCAGTGTATAAGGTCCCGGATGTTGTGGGCGGTGTATAAGGTCCCGGATTCTGTGGGCAGTGTATAAGGTCCCGGATGCTGTGGGCAGTGTATAAGGTCCCGGATTCTGTGGGCAGTGTATAAGGTCCCGGATGCTGTGGGCAGTGTATAAGGTCCCGGATGCTGTGGGCAGTGTATAAGGTCCCGGATGCTGTGGGCAGTGTATAAGGTCCCGGATGCTGTGGGCAGTGTATAAGGTCCCGGATGCTGTGGGCAGTGTATAAGGTCCCGGATTCTGTGTTCAGTGCATCTTCTCGAGGCAAGCGCGTCCACTAGACTATATCAAAGACAAAAGCTAGTGGACGCTCTTGCCTCGGGAAGATGTGTTCAGTGACGAAATAGAAATATGGCCAGCCTGGTGTCCTTGCAGACCGATTAGCTCCTATTGTGACATGTTGTCACTGGAATCGATTTGATGACGACTGATGTGCATTATCCAAGCTGTGAACATAAATCATCAGAAGTCTGAACACATGAACAGCCTCCCGAGAGAAGCTGAAATCCTTACCGCGCCCTGCTGAGGATAAAACTGGTTTTAGCACTCTCCGCTTCCACCCACTGCGCCCTTTATTGCAGGGCATTTGTATAAAACGGTATAAAATATTCACAAGAAATAATGTCACAGCTCACCCACTTAATACCATCTCGGTTATCATCGTACAGTTATATATCTAATAATCAATGTAAACATTTAGCGTCGCTCCGGCAACGGAATGGTATTTCAACAAATCATTATTTCCAGGGTAACAAAGCGAAATTGATGTGCAGTTTATTCATCATTTCGTTTGTTTAACTTGTCTAGATGACACAGATGTATGACTGGACCAAGTAACGGCAAAATCTGTTTCCCATCTAAAGGTGTGCCTGTGTAAAGACGGATCCAAGTTCCCCGAGGATCGGACCATTGCCCGAGTCAGGTGAGTCCATGTGCACCAAAGACAATCTTATGTCTGTACGTGTACACTGCATTCTCTATAAGCATCTCTGTCATTCGATTGTTTTCTAGTAGCTAGGCAGAATGCACCGACAATGGTTGAGTCCTGGTGGTAATAGATTCCTTCATATGTGCCCCGGGGTAGATGAGTGTTCTTTGAGAACATTCATGTTCAGTTAGAATATTTCCGTGTACACCCCTGAAAAATTAAAATGTTATATACATATCTCGAACTTCCGTTTATCTCTTGAGGCGGTGGGGTAGCCTTGTGGTTAAAGTGTTCGCTTGTCATGCTGAAGATCTGGGTTCGATTTCCCACATGGGTACAATCTGTGAAGCCCAATTCTTGTGTCCTCCGCCATCTTGTTGCTGGAATATTGCAAAAAGTAGCGTAAAATCATACTCACTCACCCTTCCAGTGTGTGTGTGTGTGTGTGTGGTGGTGGTGGTGGTGGTTGGGGGGGTTGGGGAGGGGGGGGGGGGGGAGGGGGGGGGAGGGGGGGGGAGGGGGGGAGGGGGGGGTGGATTTCGCTGTGCAGAATTACGTCGATTCGCTACAGACGTACCTATGGGTTCGAATTCCGGTTCTATCAAAGCAGCGTCACACGATACTCACTCACCCACTATTGGTCCCTGAGTGTAAGTTAACATTATAGGTCAGTCGTATTTTATCGCAGAATTACGTCGATTCGCTACAGACGTACCTATGGGTTCGAATTCCGGTTCTATCGAAGAGGCGTCACACGATACTCACTCACCCACTATTGGTCCCTGAGTGTGAGTTAACATTACAGGTCAGTCGTATTTTATCGTGACTAGTTGTACACAAACAATTTCTAAAAGTAACTGGAAATATATGGCCCAATATATCATCGATACCGATTGAGTAACTGGTGCAAGTGCACTGTGTGCGCCCCCAGATGGTCTCGGGTAGGCGTGATGAAGACAAATAGGGCGTTCAACGACACTCAGTAATATATTTTGCCAGAACGAGCTCTCAAATTGGTCAATCGCACTCACCGCCGCATCGTTCCCGCCCACCGCCGCCGCCGCCTTCCATCATCTGGCTGCGCTTTTAAGTGGGTGTCCAGTTCAGTCCACATTGTTTATTACAGGTATAAGAAATCGTGGGGCTTCTTGGTGGTTATTTATTCCCCCACATACTCGACATGGATTTGCCCTATTATCGCAACGTACCTGCGAAGTACATTTACGAGGGGCGTTGAACACGTGGTCATGCAAAGTAACAGGAATCAGTTGATAGGGTATTCAAATAACTATTGCCACGGATCAACAACAACACATGTCATGAGATCATTTATTTCGGTTTCGGTATGTGTTTTAGAAAATACAGCCGATTACAAAAATGACTTTTTATATGGAAATATATAGTATTTTTGGTTTGGTTTGTTGTTTAACGCCGCACTCAGCAATATTCCAGCTATATGGCGGCGGTCTGTAAATAATCCGAGTCTGGACCAGACAATCCAGTGATTGATATCATGTGCATCGATCCACGCACTTGGGACCGATGACATGCATCAACCAAGTCAGCGGGCCTGACCACCCGATCCCGTTAGTCGCCTTTTACGACAAGCATAGTCGCCTTTTACGGCAAGCATGGGTTGCTGAAGACCTATTCTACCCCGGAATCTTCACGGGTCGAAATATGTAGTAAGTGGTTCCTAATGCAGTTTTTCCAGGAGTGTGTATCACATATTAGTATTGGTCCCAACTCATGGACATGCGGAAATTGACACAGCCTCCACTATGTCCAGGGCCGCCTCCGTGGTCGAGTGGTAGAGCGTCCGCCCGGAGAGCGGAAAGTCCGGGGTTCGATCCCAGGCCGCATCATACCAAAAGACGTTAAAAGATGGTACTTGTTGTACTCGGAATTAAAAAGCTAAAACAAGGACTGGCCGGCTCGGGCTCTTAGTGGGGTATACATGTTAAACTGCGGCATAGTATCTCAGTGGGCTAGCACTATAATTCGGCATCAGTCTTGACTAGTACAAGCCGCCACACACACACACATACACACGCGCGCATGCACGGCGTGACGTTCAACCCCATTTCACCTCACCTCACCTCACCATGTCCACATAAACTTCTTTACGTGAGTGAGTGAGTGAGTGAGTTGGGTTTAACGCCGCTTTTAACAGTATTCCAGTTTTATCACGGCGTGTGAGCTTAATGTGGGAGGAAAGCCCGAAGTGATGCAGATCTCAGACGTTTACCACTTCGGTGAAACCCACGAGCACGGGTATGGTGCTGACAAACCGAGAAACATAATCGGGAAGAACCGGGATTCGAACCCACAATCATAGGTTTCTGGCGTACCCAAGGGACGCAACTCTGTACAGCGAATCGCGACGACTGGGCCACCCGTGCCCCCAATTTCTTTAAGATATTTTCAGACCTGACAGCACTTTTAAGCATTTTTATGTAACTGGGTACTTGCGCAATATAAATCCATATATGTTTTTGTATGTATGAAACACAAATAAATGGGCTCCGTGTGTGTGGCGATGCGAACCCATGTTCTCGGTGTGAACAATGAAGCGACAATTCGTCGAACTGCACGTGCAACGTTCTGAGCCTAAATACAGTAAAGTACGGTTATAACGATCTCAAAGGGACTACTTATTTTAGTTCGTTATAACCGTAGTTCGTTATAAGCATATATACAGCATAACTACAGCAAATAGGCGGGACCAAAAAGTAAGTTCGTTATATCCGTCAGTTCGTTGTAAGCGTGTTCGTTATAACCGTAGTTTACTGTATGTTGGACTGCGTTGATGGAGTTGGTTGCTAACTATTGTCATCACGACCCCTCCGAGGTCCACACACTTCTGCCAACGAACCCGAGTCCCGGGACCCCACGGACGTAGAAGGCTTCCTCCCGGTGGTATTAAAAGTCCGCCAATTCAGAATTGACGTCATCGTCAATTGGGGGCGGTCGGGTAGCCTAATGGTTAAAGCGTTAGCTCGTCACGCCGAAGACCCGGGTTCGATTCCCGACATGGGTACAATGTGTGAAGCCCATTTCTGGTGTCCCCCGCCGTGATATTGCTGGAATATTGCTAAAAGCGGCGTAAAACCATACTCACTTCACTTCACTTCACTTCATCATCAATTGGATAATGCTTGCAAAGGCAGTTCTTTGGGTTTGGGAAGAGGTTGACATCTGACCGTGCTAAATCTGGTGTTCAATGAGTTCAAGCCACAGTCGTGTATTGAATCCATAGTGACAAACGACTTGTGCACCTTTAGTGAATTTTCAACGACTTTGGCCTTGATGTTATCACACAGTTGCCTAGATTAGCTTAATATTGGCCATTGTTGTTATGACCTTTCGGGGGTAGTCAACCTGTAGTATTCCTTTAGAATCTCCGGGGCGGTCGGGTAGCCTAGTGGTTAAAGCGTTCGCTCGTCACGCCGAAGACCCGGGTTCGATTCCCGACATGGGTACAATGTGTGATGCCCATTTCTGGTGTCCCCATCACCTTGCCAGCTTATGGAGCAGATTTTGCCTTCTTTGAAGGAGGAGACGTAAGATGTTTCCACTGCTTTGACTGTTCAGTCTCTGACATAGTGATGACTCAAGACTCGTCCATGGCTACACATCGCTAAACAAAATCTGTCCGCTTCAAAACGGCGTTAATTCTCACGAGAGATGAAGGACTTTCTGTACAGAAGTCAGAAGCCTTAGTTTCCAGCATGCCGAACATTTGTCATGCCCATTTCATTCCTTAGAATGTCCGCAACTCTATCATGAGAGATGCCTGCTATATTGGCTGTGTGACGTGTGTTGAGTTGTCGAGCATCCATTATCATATCATGTATTTTATCAACATTTTCGTAGTGGTGGCAGTTGAAGGCCTTCCTGACATTGGACAATCTTCGAGGGTCTCCCTTCCCCACTTGAACGCCGCTGCTCGCGTGATAACAATTTCAAAGGAAGGAGTACCATCCCCTTGCGTTGACCATGTTCACATGAATGGCTGTTGGTGTTAGTCCTTTCAGTTGTAGAGGGGGCACGGGTGGCCCACTCGTCTAAGGCGCCGCGATTCGCTGTGCAGAGTTGCGTCCCTTGGGCACGCCACATACCTATAATTGTGGGTTCGAATCCGATTATGTGTCTAGGTTTGTCAGCACCATACCCGTGCTCGTGGATTTCAACGAAGAGGTAAACGTCTGAGACCTGCATCACTTCGGGCTTTCCTCCCACATTAAGCTGACACGCCGTGATATAACTGGAATACTGTTAAAAGCGGCGTTAAACCAAACTTACTCACTCACTCACTCACTCACTCACTTCAGTTGTAGATACTAGATGACAGCGCGGTAGTCAATCTTATACTTTTCATCAAGACAGAATACCTTGTCACTTTGATGCCTGTAGAAATATGCTGTGTGGTTGAGTATTTGGTTCAAATGCAGCCTGTAAGCGTGGAAAGTACTGCATTTAATACTAGCAAACTGTTGAGGGTGTAACAAACATCCTTCGTAGTCAGGTCAGAGCACTTTTTTTCACCCTCGTAGCAAATTGCATTGTGTGTTATACAAACACATTTCGTCATTAAAGAATAAGGTTGTGGTATGTCTTGAAAGATAGATAGATAAATGGATTGACCGATATGGGTAGACCGGGCTCATAGCAGAATGCACCTTAATTCTGCATCTTGTTGTTTCACTTGCGATTGTTTATTTTTTCCTCTCTTCAATTCTTGTATAATATCGAGCACAGATATATATCGAGATATTTGAATGACTGTATTTGTCCCACAATAGATTGTGGAAGAATGTGAAATACTAGACTAGAATCAGGTGTGACGATCCTGATTCCTAAAGTATATATGCTGTATAAACATATCTGAGTTGACCGCATTGAAAACCATGTTTCGCCGTTGCTGAGATTAGACAATGAAGCGCACGTAAAAGACTTGCAATGGCCGCCTTGAAGCATCATTATGAACAGGT